CCTTTAGGTTTTCAGGTACAAGCCATTTGCACTGTGTTGAATGGAATATAGCCAAATCCTCTAAAAAAAAAACTTGGCATAATTTCATTTCAAAATTCAAGTCTGACTTCCTTAAATTAGCTTCAGTGGCTAAGCTAACAATACACATCCTCTCCGAGCCCTGGGGACCATTTTTGGCCCATTGACTTCCATTATAAACGCTATTTTTCACTGCAGAATTATTACCATTAATGTCTTGGTGATTACTTATGTTTCCGTTTCGTTTTGGTCTATGGGCCTTAGAGTTGTAATTTTTTTATTTGTCCACCGGGTGGCGCCCTTGCTCCACATTTGATCCCGGCTGGAAAACAGCGGGCTGCTTAGACAGACCTGCGGGAAACGAAGCCTCATTTCCGGCGTGCAGCAGCGGCTTCGCCCGCTGATCGGGCGGGACCATTTTCGGCCCCTAGGACGTGAGAGGGTGCATTTTTTTTTAGTCAACAGGAAATGACGTATTTGTTGTCACGTGGTATCGGACGTGTGTGCTTAGAATTGTAATTTTTTTATTTGTCCATCATGTGGCGCTCTTGTTTCACATTTGACGCCTGCTGGAAAATACAAGTTTTACAGAGGAAAATCCCACATTCAAAGCAGTGTCTTTCTGCTCAAATGATGAGTTTGGATCATCATCAATGTGTGTGTGTGTCTTAAAAAAAATAAAGGAGTGTGTGTCTAACCTCAGAATCAAAGAGTGTGTGCCTAATTTCAAACGTTTTCTCCTTTTGAAGTCTGCAGTTCAGTGCACCCTGCAATGTAAACAAATCAAATATGAAACGAATACCAAAGCCAAATTAGACTTGTTTTGTCTGCAAGCTCGGGTTGTTTGTGCAGCTGCACTAAAACCGTGGTTATAAGAATGAGCAGTAGCTGGGAGTAATCTTTTTCACAATGGCAAGACGGTACAACGCGGAGGAAGCCCTGCAACTCATCATGGACCCCGACAGCGAGGAAAGTGCCCCATCCTCGGGGGATGAATCGGATACTTCTTCAGAGGAGGAAACGGAGGAGCAGGAGTCCGGTTCCGACTCATATGGATCGGAGTCCGAAAGTGAGAGCGGAGAGGAAGAATCAGCGGGGTGGATCTCAAAAAATGGAACACGGTGGTCACCTACGAACGCTGAGACGTTCCGCTACGTTCCAGCGGCCACGGGACGCACCGGACCCACTTTATACGCCCTGGCCCGGATCAGTGACCCACTATCCAGCTTTTCCCTTTTCCTCACGGATGACATTATCCAGCACATCGTGTCAATGACCAATCTCCAGGGGAGACGTGCTATGGCTGACTGGAGGGACGTGGACAGCGATGAGCTGCGTGCCTATGTCGGACTAATAATTCTGGCCGGTGTTTATCGTTCCCGAAACGAAGCCACGATTAGCCTCTGGTGCAAGAAATCCGGCCGGGTGATTTTTCGTGCAACCATGTCGGAGAAAAGGTTTCGCCACATCACCAGAGCTGTGCGATTCGACGACAGACTTGCGAGACCAACACACTCTGACGACAAACTGGGTCCATTTCGCAAGATCTGGGACATGTGGACCCATCGTCTCGAAATGATGTTCCCCCAAACAAAGACATTTGCGTGGACGAACAGCTTGTCCGATTCAAAGGGAGGTGCAGCTTCAGGCAGTATATGCCCAAAAAGCCGGGGAGGTATGGACTGAAGGTATGGGCGGTGTGCGACGTGGAGACGTCTTATGCCTGGAGGCTGCAGCTGTACACGGGCAAAGCAGCCACTGGGCGCGCTGAGACCAACCAGGGTATGCGAGTGGTTCTGGAGCTGACGGAGGGGCTACAGGGACACAGCGTCACCTGTGACAATTTTTTTACTTCCTACCCTCTGTCAGTGGAGCTGCTGAGGAGAACAAATACCCTGGTTGGCACCATTCGGAAGAACAAGCCCGAGCTTCCGCCAGAACTGCTGCAGACAAGGGGGAGAGGAGTTTTTTCCTCCGTGTTTGCTTTCACCTCCACGCATACGGCCGTCTCATACGTCCCTCGCCGCGGCAAAAATGTGCTCCTGTTGAGCTCCAAACACCGGACTCCAGGAATCTGCGACGGACCCAAGAGAAAGCTGCACATAATAAGGGATTACAACAGATGCAAGGGAGGTGTGGACAAACTCGATCAGGTAGGTGTCAGCATCAGTTGCGCACAAATTTATTCATTCTTGCTCATATATTCTTGTGTAAAATATACGTAGGTTTAATGTTTTTGTGTGTGTGTGTGTTTTGTGTTTTTATTAGGCTGTTAACGACTACAGCTGTAGGAGGCGGACGAGACGGTGGCTGTTAGCCCTTTTCCACCATCTGCTTGACATTTCTCTTTATAATGGCTATGTCCTGTGGACCGCGGTGGACCCAGCTTGGCAGCGAAATAAAGGTTACAGGAGGAGGGTCTACATAGAGCAGGTTGGAGAAGCCTTAGTGCAACCATGCATTGCTAGGAGAGAGCGACTTCCCCGCTCTGTCCTCACAGCAGAGTTTGTAAGACAGGCGCAGGCCGCTGCTTCTCCCGATGCTGCAGATCCTTCTCCCGATGCTGCAGATCCTTCTCCCGGTCCCTCTGCAGCCATCAAACCAAAGCTCAGGAGGCAATGTCAGCTGTGCCGAGGAAAAAGAAAGAGGGTCTACAGCGTCTGCCACAAATGTGGGAACGTGACATGCAGGGACCACAGCCTGACCACCTGCAGGAACTGCTCCACCTGAGCAGGATTGCCCCCCAGCCGATCCCCCCCCCCCCCAGCCGATTCCCCCTCACTCCTCTCCAGCCCCCACTCTCACTCATACCTTTCCCCATTCCAAATATTCCAGTATATGTTCATTGTTATATAGTTCTAAAAATAAATGTTTTCTTGTTCAAAGTGATCTTGTATTTTTATTTTCATATTTTTTTTATTTTAGAACACAACAAGGTAATAGTATATAGTGGTAATAAGCAATAAGTAAATAATAAGTGCTAATAAGCAAAAAGTGAAAACATGATCACCATTTATTACATTTACTGTGCTCCTAGAAAAAAATAGTAATAGCGGCGACCCAACCACTTTGCTCCGGGGCTGCTCGACACGTACCCGCGAGAGAGGCACTCCTCCCGGGGAGCCTCAGCAGCTTGGCCCGCTGATCGGGCGGGACCATTGTCGGTCCCTAGGGCCGTGAGAGGGTGCATTTTTTTTTTTTAGTCAACAGGGAATGACGTATTTGTTATCACGTGGTATCGGACGTGTGTGCTGGAAAAAGGGGTCCCCGGTGATCGTGCCCCGGTAATCGTCGCGACTTACCCCGGCAAGATGCACTGTTTTCGGCCTAGAGGAGGAGCATTTGCCGCCTGGAGACAATTTTCTGGTCCTAAAAAAAAAAAAAAAAAAAAGGCGATCGAAATGAATGTTGGTGCCAATCTTTAGTCCATCTAAAGGCCTAATTATAATAACAATTGAATATTACTTCAAATGTTTTTTTTGGAAAATATTTAGTTTTTTGTAAAAAAAACAGGGCGCTCATGTAATAAAACTGGGATTTAAAGGGTTAAAACAACGAAAATATAATTAAAACTTTATATGAATATTTCAGGGAGAAGTAGTTTTAAAAGACTGACCAATTTAAAGTGGAAAAAAATATGAATATATAATCTTTTTATTGCACTTTTTGGGGCGGGACCATTTTTGGTCCCCAGGGCTCGGAAGGGATGCATTAGTGATAGTCGAGTGTGTTTATGCTTGTCTGTGTGGAGAGGATTGTTGGAATACTGATGATGATGTCTGCTATCACTGTCAATTGTCAGTAAACACTTCATCTGGTTGAGGAATCTTCACATGACATATTACAAAGTCTGTATTATTAACTCTGTAATTAGGCGCCATTCTTCTTATTTTACGGCGCTGTTGTTCAATCGGGGAACGCTCTCTGTTGAGAAGAAAAGCATGAATTTGTTTGTATACGGATTATCCATTGTTTAAATGTCCCGGTAGTCGAAAAGGAGGCAGAGCTGCTGAGAAATGCCAGGAGCTAACTGGGCGCTAACCGTATCATTCAAATATATTGAATGTCGCAATGCTGGCAAAGAGAGGAAGTGATGTAAGATTTGCGCATGCGGGGTACCGATCGGGTTTCCGGTACGGATCGGGTAGCGACAAGCGCGAACGATCGCATGTCCGCCATTACCTGCCTGAAACCGGAAGTGACGTCATTTTCGCCGAAAATGTGTTTTACTTGTAGGCCTTAAAAGCCTATACTGGTGTTTTTATAAGTCATGTTTGACTTTATGCTTTTCTGAATAGTTTCTGTGATGCTAAGAACTCAAATTGCACTGCTTTAAATAGTTTATTTTGATGCACATGCTGTTTTCTTTGCAAATTTGCATCATAAGATTGTTTTTCGTTTTTTCTGCATTATATAAAAATTGGTGTATCTCAAAAATAAAACTATGAAGACACTCAAAATAAATTTCCTGTGGTTGTAAACTACTTTTTTTGCAACTTTTTTGTATTTAAAGTTTTGAGGGATAAACCTCTTAAATTTCTCCAAGTAGAAATATATGTAAAAAACAAAACAAAAACGATTTTAAATTTTTTTGTAGTTTATTGCACTTTTTTGCAATTTATGTAGTTACTATGGACTTAATGCATACATATTATTAAAATGTGGGCTATAACAGTTGTATTGATGTATAGCAACTTTAAATGCTCCCTAAATGGCACTACAGCCTGTAAAAATATAAAGTAAGCTCTGGCGGCCTTGGTTCTATGGTAGGTCTTAAAGGGTTAAAGAAAACTTGTGGAGGATATATGTAAAACATTTGAGCTGAGAATTGAGGCTCTGTCAAGCTCACTTACTCAAATTTTAATTACTTCATTATTTTGCTGTTATTTCTCTTTCATGCTCAGACATGTGTCTCCCGCCTCTCAGCTTCACTCTTCCCACTATCTGGTTTCTTTACACCGCACACACACCCTCAACCTCAAGTCAAAGCAAGACTGTTTATATCAGTTACCTGACATTTACAGTGTTAGATTGTCTTCCTGACAATATCAGCATTCTTGGATTTTTAACAGCTGAACTTTGAAGTGGATGAAGAGAAAATGAGTGCAGTGACTGAGTCGCTCTGCTGCATTCTGCTGCTTTTTTTCTGCATGTTTTCCCGTAAGTACAAAATAACAGCAGCTCACTAATAACACTAAGAACAATTGATTGATTGGAGGAAGTAAGAAGCTGTGTGGAAATGGAGTAGACTATATCTTGTAGCTAAGTAACACATTTGGCAGTCCTGATATTTATTGCGACTGAAGCGAACCCTAATATAGAAAAAAGTCCACGACAGCTTATCTTTACATTTTTACATGTTGTTACACATTTTATTAATTTGTATGTATTACGTCGACAGCAACAACATAAACTGCTAAAAATTGCAATAAACTCAAAGAAATTACAATCATTTTTGTTTTTGTACACATTCTTTACTTACAACAATGTCAAAGGCGTTGAAGAAGAGGCTTGGGGCCACTTCATCCAGAGAACTGCTGCTTACTGAATATTTCCTCTTGTTCAGACTATTCTCTGTAGCGATGACTGTGAGCAGATCAGATCTGTCTGCAGTACTCAGCCCAGCCCATGTGGCACCAACAACCATCCTACATTCAAAGTCACTTATATAACCATTCTTCATCATTCTGATGTTCAGTTTGAACTTCAGCAGGTTGTCTTGATCATGTCTAAATGCCTAAATGCATTTGGTTGCTTCCATTTTATTGGCTAATTAGGCATTTGCATTAACAAACAGATGAATACAAAACGACAGGGATTGACCCAAAGTACTTTTTCGTAAAGGCAGTGAGATTAATAAGGAAAGTATATAAAAACTGATTTGAGAAGGGAATAAAACCTAAGATTTAAATGTAAAATATGATTAAAAATACATGAAATACAGCTCAGGAATCTCTGTTTGGTCCTCACTGTGAAGTGAACAGTTGTATTTTCACCTTTAACCTCTCTGCTCTGTATTGTTTCCTCCTTCAGACCAGGAAACCATCACAGCTGATTCTAAGCAGAATGTCAATCTCACATGTCAGGTACCAAATAAAACGGACCCCATCATTGTTGTAGAGTGGAGCAGAGCTGACCTGGTACCAGAATATGTTTTTGTGTATCGGAATGAGAAGCTTGATCTGGAAAACCAGCATCCATCCTTTAAGAACCGTGTGGATCTGCGAGACAGACAGATGAAGGACAGAGACGTGTCTTTGATTCTAAAGAATGTGACGATTAATGACACTGGAATATACGAGTGTCATGTCTTCATGAGTGCAACAAAAGTTCGTCTGAAGACCAAACCCATCTGCAACATCACCCTGAGAGTTGTTCCTCCAGGTGAGTGAGTAGAGTTGAGTGTGTGATCAGAGGTGAAGCTGCTTCCTGGTTGTTGATGTTTGTTTCTAAAGAAAGCATCTGGTCTGAGTGATGTGATCAGAGTGCAGTAGATAATGTCTGACAGCAGTTTGAAGAGGAAATGGATTCTGTTCTGTTCTTCACTCATCACCTACCTGACAGCTGACACCTCACACCTGTTTCTCACCTGCAGGTCAGCCAGGAGGAGACACAGAGGATGGAGGGAAGGAGGATGGATCTGTTGGACTGAAAGTTGGCCTGCCACTTTTAGGTGTGCTACTTATTGCTGCTGCTGTTGTTGTTTTTTGATAAAGAACAAGGTCAAGATTTATACCAATCTGGGCACGCAGTAGAGAATGAGCTGTAGACTTCAATCATGTAAAATGTGTTTCATCTCTGTCAAACCTTTTTGTATTATTGTGTTTATCAGTGGCTCTGTGAGCTTCAGTGTGTTCGTGTGTATTTTGTTTCAAGGTGCTGCTTAGTCTTTAACAATGCTCTGTAGTCAAAATGTTTAAAATGAGTCGAAGGTTTTCTTTTTTAAATATGTTCAGAAAGTGTGTGGGAAAGTAATTATTGGATATTAAGTAGCGGAATTTCAAGAGCAGGACCACGTCTCCAACACGCTCCTTCCGGTTCTCATCTAGATAGGTTCCCCCAGTTCTGCAAGCTGTTGATTCTCATTTACGTGCCTCACCCTCCCTTCCTCCCTTTTTCAATTCTGTAACTTCTTCACTTCTATTAGGTACATGGGGATCAGGGGCCATGGAACCCCTGATAACCATAACCAGGCCCAGGAACCGACGCCAATCCCTTTCAAGGCCTTCCCCAAACCACAGGTCAATTCATGTCCAAGAATTAACCTTTACCTACTTATGGCTGGCGGTGTTCCAGTTTGACCACTTGGTGGCAGCTTTGTGTCTCTCTTATAATGCTGCTGTATGGTAGGCTTCAAAAGCCGAATGTTTTTGAGCTTTAAATCAGCCGAGATCCTTTGAATCTACCATTGTCTGTGCTTTGCTCCATTTTCCATGAATATTTCTTGAATTTCCCCTCACCCCAACCAGTCGCAGCAGATGATTGCGCCTCTCTGGTTTTGTTGGAGGTTTCATTCCTTATGAAGGAAGGTTTTCCCTACCCACTGTCACCCAACGCTTGGTCACAGTGTGTCATCTGTTTTTTGGGGTCTTCTCTGTACTATTGTAGGGTCTTTATCCTTAAATACAAAATCCCCTGGAGGTGATTGCTGTTGTGATTTGGTCCTCTATAAATAAAATTGAATTTAACTGACCAGACTGTAAACTGTTTCTTTTCTCGTGTTCAGCCACTGCTGGCAGAGAGAAAGAAAGTAAAACCTAAAAGGGAGTATCCTTCATCAAAGCTCCACCCTCTCGTAGAATATGGTCACACGTACACGGGTTTTTTGAAAAGATTTTTCTATGCATCTTTCGTCCAAAACGTAAACTGCATTTTCAATCACTGAAAACCGAGATTTTTATCAACTCCTGCCGGGGTGGAGATTTTTGAAAACTCAGTTTTTACATGTGGACGAGGAAAACGGAGATTTAATCTGATTATCTACAGTTTTTACACGCTTATATATACACACAAAGTTACTGTACCTCCATTTAGAAAGACAGAGGCGTCAGGGTGAACTTCTACATTCACACACTGATGTCGTCGTCAGTTTTTAACAAACTTGATTTTTTTTAAAAGTTAAATTTAGGCCTGCTGTATGGATTTTGTTCATTCCTAAGTTGTGAGTCTACACCAGCCAAAATACTGTCTTTTGTTATTAAAGAAAAACTTTTCAGAAGTACTGCATAAAACCCTCTTTACTGTTTCCCTCCCAGGCTTCTAGACTTCTTATTGGACAACATTTCCACAGGGCTAGGATCTGGCATGTTCTTGACAACATTTGACTGTGTTTTTTGCATTTAAACTGGACAGAGATATTTTTCAAAACTGCACCTGTGGACGGGATACTTAACAAAAAACGTACACATAAAATCTCTGTTTTTAAAAGTACCCGTGTACGTGTGGACGCAGTCCTAGATTCATCACAATTGGACTGTTATTTTTTTTTAAGTAAGGGGTGTCCAACTCCAGTTCTCGAGAGCTACTGTCCTGCAGCTTTTAGATGCATCTCTACTCCAACACAGCTGAATCAAATGGTTGGATTACCTCTTCAGCAGGCTATCAAGTTTGGCAATGGCCTGATAACAAGCCATTCATTTGATTCAGCTGTGTTGGAACAAAACCCCCCTTAAAGAACTACCGGACCAAACCGGTTTCATTAAAGGTAGGCACTCATCAACAAATACACACAGAATACTTAATTTTATAGACTATTCATGTAGTAAAAACACTGAAACCACGATATTGTCTCTAGATGCAGAAAAATACATTTATTTATATTTGCAACTTTACACAATTTTGGTTTTGGAGACTCTTTCATAAACTGGTTGAAAATATTACATAATTGCCCAACAGCCTGTGACAGCACAAATGCCCAAACATCCCCCAGCTTCTGTCTCCCCTTCACTGTTTGCAAATTTTATTTAAACACAAACAGCAGCAATCAGACAGGCTACAGTAATTAAGTGCAAAAAATGCACAAATGTAAAACATAAGATCAGTCTTTATGCGGATGTGTTACTTTTTCTCCAACACTCACAAACCACTCTCTGAGGTAATTACATTAATAAACTTATTCTCAAGTGTTTCATATTATTTGATAAACAGTTCTTCCTATTAATTGCTCCTTCAAAAATTCTTCTACCCCGCTGCAATTTGGAAATATTAAATATTTAGGTATTAATGTTATTAATGAAACCACATCCCACTTAATAAAGAAAGTAGAAGATGATCTGTCTAGGTGGAAATCTCTACCCATATCACTCATGGGAAGGGTTGTGTCAGTAAAAACTATGGTCTTGCCAAGACTCAATTATTTATTCTTAGTTATTCTGAATAAACAATCAGTAGACACGTTTAGATCTGTTCCGACGACCATTTATAAATTCCTTTAGAAAGATACACCAACGTGTATCAGTCTAAAAATGCTTTAAAGGACCAAGAACAAAGGAGGACTAGATCTGCCTAACTTTCAACACTACTTCCTAGCCAACAGGCTACAATCATTTTAGCATAGTTTAAAAATACCATCTAAGATGAGCCCTGGCTAGATGTAGAACAAGCACTTTGCAACAATATAGATTGCAGACCTACCATTTATCAGGTCAAACATTAAATGACATGAATGCTTTAAAAGTATCAACATCGGCTCCTCTCTGACAGCATGATGGGAGTTTCTAAAAATGACCTAGTTTTCATGAATCCCATGCAAATGTACACCCATCTGAACAATAGTGATGGGATTTTCGGCTCTTTTTAGAGAACCGGCTCTTTCGGCTCGGCTCACTAAAAAGAGCTGGCTCTTTCGGTTCCAAGCCGGCTCTTCAGGTTGATTTGTTGCTTTAATTAATTTATTATTAACAACAATATAAAATTATGCACAAAAAGAATTACTAATGTAAAAAAAATTTGGTTTTATTTATATATGTTTATATATAAATATATACAGTGGCCCCTAGAGACAAAGCACCTACAAACTCCAAAGCCACATTTCTAGCGTTAACTGAACTTCCAAAACAGAGCTACCTAGATCACTTAAATGACACAAAGCATATGTGTATTGTTTATGTATTTATACACAAGCACTCATATATATATTCAAATAATATAAAAAAAAAAAAGTTCATTTACCTGTTACTACCACACACCAAATCCGGTCGTTGGTACTTCCTGGCTTGTGTAGCCACTAGGTAACAAAAGCTCAACACTGCACCCAGCATCCTGGAGAACTTCTGTTGTGTTTTGCACGTGTTTTGGAGTTTTTACGTGCTTTGGAGTTTTTACGTGCCGTGTCTCTAGGGGCCACCGTAAATATACTTTTATTTATTCACTCCACATAAAATGTAATAAATAAATCATATAATACAAAAACCAACTATTTACATTTTAACTTTTAACTATTTAAATTTTCAGCTTTTTCCTTTTAAACAAAGTTAAAGTGAAACAACACAAAACACTGCAAACCACAACACAATTACATATAAATTAAAATATGAAAACAAATTATTCTCTGTCATATAGGCCTGCATGAACAAACTTTCTGAATCCTTTATCATCCGCAAATGAAATTAGTTGTGGATGATTACTATACCTTTCTAATGTGACGTTGTTGTCCCTGGTAGTGATGGGATTTCCGGCTCTTTTTAGAGAACCGGCTCTTTCGGCTCCGAACCGGCTCTTCAGGTTGTTTTGTTGCTTTAATTAATTTATTATTAACAATAATATAAAGTTATGCACAAAAGGAATTACTAATGTAAAAAAAAAAAAGTGGTTTTATTTATTTATATATGTTTATATATAAATATATGTGGTGGCCCCTAGAGACAAACACGTACAAACTCCAAAGCACATTTCTAGCATGAACTGAACTTCCAAAACAGAGCTACCTAGATCACTGAAATTACACAATTGAAAGCATATGTGTATTGTTTGTGTATTTATACACAAGCACTAATATATATTCAAATAATATATCCTCCTGACTACCAGCAATGCAAATTTGTCCTCTGTAGTGCACCTTTCTAAACCTGAATATCTCCCATGCACTGCATACTACAGAATTGCCTCCTTTTGGTATCTACAGAGGACATTTAGGGCTTTCCAATGATACCAAATGTGAAGGGGTGGAGCTTTGGGAACTTTAGTTTTTCATTAGGGAACATGGCGGCCATCGCCGCAAGCACATTTTATGGGAAGAAGAAAAGTAAGTGCATAAAACTTCTTATTGAGCAATTTTTAGCTATAAATGATGTTAGCATATTTTAAATAAGTCTCTTAATAACACAAAACATAGTATGCTTAATTCTAACTTAATTTTAGTATAGTATTGAAGTGTTTAAAAAATGTCCTCCGTAGTGGACATTTGTAGTCATTTCCTCCATTTTGTTCTGTTTTTTTAAATGACCAGAAAAGGAGTCATTTTTAGAAGAAGAAAGAAATTTATTGCAGTTTGATGAGGGAAACCCAGATCTTGAGTTGTCTGATGAAGAAGATCATAGGGAATAAGCCCTTGAAGAAGAAAGAAGTAGGAGCATCAGGGATGGTACTCAGACCTGAACTTGCTGTCATTAAGTGGTTGGACAGTTGTCATGGCATCCTCTGCCTATGGCAATCAACCTCAGGACAGACGCACAAGATGGTCTAAGAAAAACAAAAGGTTTGTCCATGTAGCAAGTCCACTGGCAATTGCTGAGTACACTACCAATATAGGTGACGTGGACCTTGTTGCCGAATGTTGAGTTTCTACAGGATGGTCCCTCACACTCAGAAATTGACAGTATGTGCAGTTTTCTACTTTTTGATCTGGCAATCACCAACTCGTGGCTTCAGTATAGCAGTGACTTGCAGTTTTGGGGGAAGAAACCACTACAGTTCCTTGAGTTCAAACTTCTCCTTGGTGAAGAGTTGAAGAAAATGTTTGCCATCAAAGTTCATTTTTACACGTTTGGCCTTCCAATGTCCTCTGCAGTGGACATGTGATATCTAAAAAATGTGAACTTTTTTTTCCAAAAAAATTATTTCAGTCTTCTAATTACCTTACAAACATTGGGGGATTTAAAAAATTTTTTGATTGGACAACATTTTTTTTCCTGGTAGTCAGGAGGATATAAAAAAATGTTCATTTACCTGTTACTACCACACACCAAATCCGGTCGTTGGTACTTCCTGGCTTGTGTAGCCACTAGGTAAGAAAAGCTCAACACTGCCCCTAGCATCCTGGAGCACTTCTGTTGTGTTTTGCACGTGTTTTGGAGTTTTTACGTACTTCAGAGTTTGTACGTGTTTTGGAGTTTTTACGTGTTCTGCAAACCACAACAATTAAATATAAATTAAAATATGAAAACAAAAAGAACATGCATATTCTCTGTCATATGGGCCTGCATGAATAAACTTTCTGAATCCTTTATCACCTGCAACCGAAAATAGTTGTGGATGATTACTATACCTTTCTAATGTGACGTTGTTGTCCCTGGCTCTCTTTCTCTCTCTCTCCCTCTGGCTCTGTTCCTGTGCTACTGAGTGTAACTACCGCCCCTCCCCCCTCTGCCCAGCATAAAGCACAAGGCTCAGGTGCGAAGTGAAGCAGAAAAAAAGTGCGAGAGAGAGAGAGAGAGAGAGAGAGAGAGAGAGAGAGAGAGAGAGAGAGAGAGAGAGAGAGAGAGAGAGAGAAAAACAAAACCC